AGCATAGGTTGACGGTGGCATATAGATGACGGGGCCACTCGTCCAGAGCCAGCCACTGGTTCACCGGGAATGCTACCTTCCTAGAAAGGCCGCCACTGACGGTGATGTCGACGAAATCCAAGTACCACCCTGGCTTGTTCCCTTCGCCGTTGGATGTGACGGTGATGGCACAAACGCTGAGACAAGTGCCTCTGCCGCTGAAGACGTCGAGGTTGCCCCGCTCGAAGTAGTCATGACCCGGTGCCATTATGCCCCAGCTTCGGAGGTTGTTGACGGTAAAACTATTGCCGGACGAAGACATTAACTTAAGGCCGATGACGGAGTCCGTTCCTGCATCTTTGCGATCTCCTGTCTTAACTCTCACAATGTACTGGCATTGCTGCTGCATATACACAACTAAGTAGAAGGAATAAAAGCTTTGAAACTAATAATATACACAAGAGAGAGCAATTACTTACAGATGTAGCCATTGCAGCAAAGCTTATGAGTGAGACTAGAAAAACAAGACAAGACAATGAAATAACTCTAAGAGCCATTTTTAGTTTGTGATGCTACGTACTGATCGTACTGATCGATCGATGAGGATGAGAAACACTGGAATAACCTCTCTATGCTTTTATACAAATATACGGTGACATATACATAGATGGTGATTACTTAGTTTTACTTATATGGCCAATTCATTTTATTATCACGTGGACAAGTTGATAACGTGGGATGTCATCAACCTTTCGTTCTGATATGGTGGTCTGATGAACACATGTCCTGCATGCATGCAGCCCCATTTCAAACCGTAAACAAGAGAATTAATTAAACACGACCGCCCATGAAATTATATATATCGAATCAAATATCACCTCAGTGTCAGGATAAGCATGGCAGGAAACGTCTGGTTCAAGGAAACAAGTGTATGCATATAGTTCACAAATTATCATGCGCAACGGAATGTGAGTTCAGTCCTCAGTGCATACAACGAATCTCCTTCATTGTGTGTAATTTTCTAGTCTCTACTGTTCATTCCAGAGGGAAAATCATGGGCTGGATCCAACACAAAAAGCAAGCCCGGCAACAAGGCCAAGTTCACCCTCCAATTAACAATGTTGAAACCTGTAGATTCAAGGTGCCCAATATACCAACTAAGGATTGGGTTTAGCGAAATGGACTACTCTCTTACAACATGACAAATCAATGTTCAAATTCCTGCTAAGAGTTGTGCCTATATTTAATACCCGACAGTATTTTGAATAGAACTATTTTCAATTGGAAGATACCTGTACTTAGGAGCCAAAAAATGTGCCCAATATAATATCAGCTATATGCACTCTCTTAATATGCCAAGAATAGAGATGTAGACTCTCAATGATCCACCAATAGAGTGAAGAAATCTCTTGATCTTTGATCTGACCTCATACTATTTTCTTACACAGATCTGTCACGGCCATGTATTAAATAAAAATAACATTAATAATAGTTTGAATTCGGTGGTTTCTGTGGTGGCTCTTATGATAAACTGATTTATTACCTCCGGTCATAATTATAAGACCATGTATGTAATCTACAAACAAGATTTTATAATTATGGCCGAAGGCATTTTATTTAGTAAGCCAGTTCGATTTCGATGCATTTTCTGTTGTATGCTTTTTGGTGGCTCCGTTGCTTTGGTGTTTTGGTCAATATAAGGGAGACCTGAGAGTTACATTCAAATTTTCAAAATTAACATATCCATTCACGGTCAAAAAAAAAAAAAGATTAACATATCTATCGGAACGAGCACAACTTGATTAAATACAAGAATATGACACCCGGTAAACGTCCAAAATACTTTTAAAACATAAATATATCACTTCATTATAAATATGGCAAGTATAAATTACTCAGCTTTAAGACCATTGTTGTTTAAGATTACTTAACATGTCTCGGAAGAGAATGACGTGACAAGATAGCACCGGTCAAATAAATTAGGCTCCAATAAGATAAGAAAATAAAGAGGAAATTATAGTTTGTTACATAGGAAAGTTTTGGCTTGTGAGATACTCCTCCTGGTCCTTAATTAATGTAGAATCTAATTGAGAAGTTAATGTTGGTTCTAAATATAAGACCCATTTTACACATTTATTAATTTTTTTTCCAAATTAACCATATTGATATCCCCTAAACAATAATCAAGTAGAAGAGGGAGGGGAAGAATTAAGGAAGATGCTTAGGCTATTTTAATTTAAAAATATCATATTAACCAATTTACATTAATATCATTAATCTACTCAAGTTAGTTAATTAGACTTTATATTAGGTATCGGAGAAGTACTACAGTTAAGAGTGCATTTGGCTAAGCATTCCAGTTTATTATTTAATAATTTTCATAATACATGTGAAAGTTAAGAAAAGTCATAATTGGGTAAAAAGAAAGAGAAGTAATGACCAAATAAAAGAGTATAGTGATATCTAATAAACAGAAAAGAAAATTACACCAGTAACAAATAATGCAAGACATAATGGCTCGTGGCTATTATATTCTGCTAATTATTTCAAATAACACATCATTGGCCAAAAAATTTGAAGGGTTGAAGGCCCAATATAAACATGATCAAGTAATATAAAGTATGGATTGAACCCAGTGATAACTTCTCAAAATTCTTATCAATTCAACTTATTTTAACACTCTTTTGTGGGTTTTGGAAGCTAGTTACGTGGGGTTATTTCCTTAAAGTTAGAAAATATGATTTGAAAAACTAAACTTTGATTTATACTAACAATTGGGGATTATTTGTGCAATGTTTTTAAGATTCTTGGTGTAAGAAATAGTAAGAAATGGAAGATGAATGACAAGGAGAAAGATTTAATCTATTTTGGTTGATTAGAGGAAGATTAAGGATGCAGAGCGAGCAAGAATGGAAGAACCAAGCCAAGGAGCTAGAAACACATCATTCCTTGTGGCATCTGAAGCAATCTGTTGTAGCATCTCAAACAGAAAAGGAGGAGAGACGCTCTGCATAAGGTGCTGCAGCACCTATCTAAATCCACCATGGTGCCTGAAGCAATCCGCTGTGGTGTCTTAACCAGAAAAGGATGAGAGATGCTCTGCATAAGGTATTGCAACATCTGTCTAAATCTGCCATGGCACCCAACATGTTCTGAGGAAATTGTCATTCTGTAATAGGCACCGTGATGTTTGGATAAATCTGCCGTGATGCTCGATCCCTTCTAAGGAGTTCCTTTTTGTGTCATCCGCCGCCCTGCACAACTATGCGTTTTGCTTTGTAACTTAAAATTTATAGCTTATAAAAGGGGGAACTCATGATTTTTGGCTAGACTTTGACTTGGGAGCTTATTTGGAGAGGTTCTCTACTAGGGTTTAGAGATTTTGAAGCTTGGGAACATTGGGCTTGAAGTTGTAAGAGATTTGAAGCTTCTTTCTTCCTTTTCCTTGGTTTTCTTCTTCTCTTCTCCTTTGTTTCTGTAATGGCTGTGAAATATCTGTTTTTGTGGCTCTTTGCTAAATATATGTAGCTAGAGTAGTCATTCTAGGGTTATTTTGATTTATTGTATGGATTAAAACTTGTTTTAATTCTCTCTTTAGTATTATTGATAATGTTATATTGTTTTCATCTTGAATTTAATGCTTTCTTATGTGATTGGCCACCATTTGGAATGATTTGTTGATTGGATGAAGCTTGAGAAAGTTAAATTGATCTTTGAACTTAGGTAAAAATAGGCTAATTAAACTTGATATTTATGCTATTAAATAGATATTTTTTTGATAGAATAGAGATATATCTATTGACTTAGTATTGTCCAAAAAACTATTTTTTGAAAGAATGATAATTAAGAGATTACTATTTTAGATTCTATACATATTAAAATAATTATTTTGAACAAATAAAAGTAAAAAAGAAATTAAATCTGAATCATTAAAATAAAATATAGACAATTAAAATCTGATGAGTTTAGGATGCTTATCAAAATGATGAGTACCAAAACTAGTTTCCTGAAACTCATCACTTACATACATAGCAAGATTTGCCATAACAAGGCCTTCCAACCCAATCAATTTCACGTAGTCTTCTTGAAGAGCACCTTCTTACCTAGTGCTTTGGTTCCAATCCCTATGAGCGATTGATGAAGCAGGCCCAGGATCTATCATGGCTGCTCCAACATCCTAGCCTCCTATTTTCTTTATTCATTTTGACCATGAACGAATATGTAATAAAACTGTAAGGGAAAAGTTGGAGAAATAATCTTATAAATCACCACAGAGTTACTCTTAAGAACTCCTGCTTTAAGGGGTCAAGTAAGTAAATCAGGTATTCACACCTTAGGCGGGTAGCGACGGGTCTTGCAAGAGACTTTGTGAGATCAATCGGGTTGGAAGTTCAACAGTTCCTTCACCCCGAAAACTGACCCATGATACAGTGCCCTTTGGCTTCGCATGTGGGTGGCAAACGAAGATCACATGATGGTGCTTAGTCAGATTTTCTTGAGGCCACATCATCCCTGTTAACTCAGATTAACGGCGCTTGTAAGGTTTTTTTGACAGAAGGACTAATACCAGTAGCAGAGTAAACAATAAGGATGGAATGAAAAGGAAGAAAAAACTATAAGGACCTGGTTTAAAATTGGATGAAATTATAAGGACGTTTCCTTATTATTATTATTGAAATGAGACACATCACAAAACATTACGTCACACAACACACCAACAAAAGCCAGATACATATTACCACCTCAGGGCCTATTTATTATTTATATATTACATATAGGCCGCGAGAGAGGTAACATATTAAAATGTTGCCACTGAAGTATGGTCACACAAAAGAGAGAATGGGCCTCAAACGAAAGAAGTTGGAGCATAAATTGACTTTGGCATAGAGATTATAGCCTGCGGTCTGATCTAGCCACTGGTTCTCAGGGAAGGCTACCTTTGGTAGATTTGTAACATCCTACGACGTTGATCTCCACGTAATCCAAGTACCACCCTGGGTATGTCCCTCTCCCGTCGGAGACTACGGTGATGGCGCAGAGATCAGGCAAGGGCCGGTGCCACTGAAGACGTCGAGTTTGCCCTGCTCGAAGTAGTTGTGACCGGATTCCATCATGCCCCAATCTTCAAGGTTGTCGACGGAAAAGCCATTGCCGGAAGATGTGTTTAGCTTGGGGCTTATGGTGGAGTCCGTTGATGCGTCTTGCACATCTCCCGTCTTGACTCTTACAACGCACGTGCACTGCTCCTGCATGCATGCATATGAAAAAACACACACAAAACTGAGTACGTAGAAGGAATATATAAAACCCTGAAACTAAAAATGGATCAACGCAAGAGAGCAATTAATTACTTACAGATTTAGCCATTGCGGCGAAGCTGATGAGTGAGAGAAGAAAGACAAGAGAAGACAATGCAATAACTCTGAGAGCCATTTGGTTGATTAGTTTGTGACCCTACTGATGGATCAGTGCTGAAACAACCTATGTGCATGCCTTTATATACAGGGCCACAAACTGTAATGATCCCAAAGCATTGGGCCCAAGTCAGGTACACGCGTCTGGTAAAGCAAGAAGGAGCCAGAGAGGGACTTGACTGAGATGGAAAGTGTGGAAGTATAAAATACTACAGTTATAATAAGAACATATCTCCTTCCTTTTTTTTCTTTTGATGATAATACTATATATCCTTTCTCCTTGGATTCTTCCTTAGCTTTCTGTCTTTTTCTGTATATTCTCTTTTGTATTTCTTTTGCTATGTAGCCTTTATTTATATATAGGGCAACAAAATATCACCTCAGTACGTGTCAGTCTTTTCGATAATTTTAAGAACTTAAATGCCCGTTTTTGTATTTGCGTTCCTCAGCAATCTAGTGCGAATGCGATTTGGCAGGTCGGCTTTACCTTATTTAGCTATCTTTAAATATAAAAACTAATAAACTCAAATGATAAGGTCCCAAAACAATTTTCAATTGTAAATGGCATGTGGATAAATGATCTTAAATTATACTACCTCTAGTTCTTAATATTAGAGCTGGTTAACTATTTTGATTAGATTAAAAAATTAGTTAACTTAGTTATTTATAATAAATAATTGTTGTCTTTTCTAAGATATCATTGCTAATCAAGTGTATTGGCTAGATTACTATTATTACAAGAACTACCTTAAAAAAAAGATAAATATAAGAAATAAAGTAGATTGGGATTCTACATTTATGATTAAAATAAAAATCAAATGAGATATTATCTTATAGACCGGAGGTAGTATTAACAAAGATGTGAAAATAAATGGAGTATTCTTGTCTCTGGGTGTTCGCCGATTAGTTAAACCGCAAGCGGACAGGTCGCAAGTAATATAAAAAGTATCGTTCCCTCAAAGACTAAGGCTAGATGAGTTAAAAATCATTAATGTGTTATTGATTAGGTAAAGTGAGACAAATGTTGTAAAAGAGTTGTGAAATGAAATTAGGAAAACAATGATTTAAGGCAGTGTAAAATCAACTTGACTTTGAAACAATTAAGAGACTAGGGTTATTCTTCATTAAAATACTTCATAAAACTGGATTAATCACTTTTGAAGTAGTACTTAACACTAAGTTCAGTTAGCCGGGGTTCGCAGAATTGATTAAGCTTTCTCAAGTCAAAACCAAATGTTTGCATCCTCAATAAAACATAGCAATCTCTTGCATTTGTTTTAAAAGGTTGCACTTTATAAACCAAAACCCCTTTAGTCTATGCTAGGTTAACCAATACATCTCTATTCTATCAACAAACTGTCTATTTACTCAGTTAAATTTCCGGACTAGCACGTTTTTACCAAAGTCACAGATTAACTTAACTTTCTCAAGTTTAAACTAATCAAACAATTAATCCAAATGATGGCCAGTCACAAGGAAGCATTAAGGCAAGGTAAAAACAACTGAACATTATCATCAATACTCAAGAGATAATAAAACCAGGTCGCCATCCATGCAATAGATCAAAATAACCCTAGAAAAATTGATTTAGCTATACATGTTTAGTAAGAAGCTACAACTATAAGAATAGCTAGTAGTCATTACAGAAACAAGAAGGGAAGAAGAAAGAAACCCAGAAAAGTTGAGTAAAAAGCTTTGAATCTCTTCTAGCTACAAGCCCAAAGTTTTCAAGCCTCTAAAGCTCCAAATCCTAGCAGAGCAAGCCTCCAAAATTGCCCCAAAGTCGAAGTGTGTCAGAAAAAACCGAGTCTCCCCCTGTATATGCCCTGATTTTTAAGTTACATCATAAAACACACAGCAGCGAGGGGTCAAGCGCCACGGCAAATGTGGTCATCCGCCGCGCGGATTGCACAAAATGGCTTTCCTGGGAGTAGCTTTGGCACCGCGGCGTGTGTGATCATAGGCCGCAACGGATTACACCGAACAGGGACTTCTTTGGAACAACTTGGGTGCCACGACGAATATGCTCAGGAGCCGCGGCGCCTCACACAGAAGTGTACTCCTTCCTCTTTGTTAAAGCCGCCATAGAATTTTGAGAGCACTAAAACAACTTGAATAAGTAGGAATTTTGAGAGGTTATCACACCCCCAAACCTATACTTTTGCTCGTCCTCGAGTAAAACAACAAACCAGCAACTAAGTAACAAATTGCACATCAAAGATTGTAGGAACAACTATATCCTCATCAAATGCTCAAGAAAACATACTGGATAGAAAATTACTGAATCACCCAAAGAAACAAGTTTTATGAGCTTGAAACAAACTTTCAATGATTTTGAAGTGTGAGTGTGTGTATAGAGTCAAAGAACATCTCTCATGATAATGTCTCAGCAGAATGTGAAACTTTAGCCAACATACTAACCTTCAACCGCATACTTTCATAAGCCTAACTCCTTCTCTTTCTAGACCTACAACTCACCCTACATAAATTTGAAATCAAAGGGACTTTTTGGCTTGTAACGTGGCCAAGAGGTCATGGTTTAGGAAAGAAAGGGAAAATAGAATATACAAATACTTTGAGATAAATAGATACTCGTAATCAAAACTAACTTCAACCACTTTCATTCCCACAAACTTGTACCAAAATTTATTCTCTTTTCACCAAGCTTTCATAGAGTTGTACTAAATATTTATATACCATTCTCTTTTTCTTTTTCTTTTTCTATTTTGTTTTTGTTTTTAAGCGCAAAACATTAAAAGCAATAACTTAGCTTAGTTTCTAACACTTTAAATTTCCAGAATATTTCCATTACCCCTGCTAACCTTTCAAAATCTCAACATCTCATCAAACTCCTTATCCTTCCAACTTCCATTTATCTCAAAGCTAGGGACTTCATGGTTTTTCTCAATTGGTTTTGGGCTAGGAAGAGGTCAGGGTTTGAAACAAAATATAAACATATATATACACATTTTTTTTACGGCTCAAAGTATGGGTTTAAAAGACAAGATCTTTAAGGTCAGCTTGAAAGGCTAAAACGCATTTAAGAATTGCCTTAATCCTTTTTCAAATTCATATAGAACAAACCGTAAACTTTGAGAAATCAGAAGAAGTTCTGAAACAATTTAGTTGAAACAAAAGTATAAAGGCTAAATTATCTACTTAACCTCAACATAATCACTTGAAATGTCTTGACCCCTTTTGTGCATTAGTTTCTCCAAAATTAAAGAAAGACAGGTTTTAACCTCACAATTCAAGCATCAAAGAGCAATTCACAACTTTCTATCAAGCATGGTCACTAAGCATTTTGTTCAATCATTGGACCATTCATACATTTTCAACTAACAACTCACCGCTTCAGCTCATCTTTCATAAAACCAAACAAGCAAAAATTTAAGATAACAAAATTTCTACTGTTTCAACTGTTTTCTCTTTTTACTCAAAATATTTACTCAACAAAGTGATCTTTCAAAACTTTTCAAATTTAACCCTGTTATGCACAAAAAATCCTGTTATCCACAAAAATCAACCCCCACCCCCAAACTTGAAACTGACAATCCCCTCACTATTAACAAGGGTAAGTGAAGATCAGGGCATGCAATCAGAATCCAAAAGCAATATATCCGTTGCATGAAATGTGAAAATTGGCTTTCTTCCTGTACAAGAATAACAGTATGCACACTTATCAACAATATCACTATCAGATAACCTCAATGAAATCAACAATTACTATTATTATCCACAGATTAATCAATGAAAAGATCAATCAACTATCAAGATATTCCACAGTTCTCAACAGTTAGCGCAGTTATAAGCAATAGTGACAAATACGATTCAATAACCACAATCAATCTAACAGGCCATCAGCAACCTTTCCAGAAACAACGAAACAGATAACAAAACACAAAACAAATAAAGTCACAAGAAACTCAAGGAAGACAAACAAAAGTAAAAGAAAGAAAACAAGTAACAGTAGCAGCAGAAACAGCCCCAGCTAGTCATCTTCCTCCTCCAATTACTGACCCCCCTATCCTCATCACCTCTGCAAATGGATCGACAGCCATATCATCTCCCTCACCCAGACCAGAACCAGATGCTCTAGCTTCCTGTTCTTTGCCAGGTGATCCGTCCTCATTTTCAGCCTCAGTACTTGTATCTCCAACATCCGAAGCATCAATGTCCAGTTTTCATGCAATCTGGACTAACAGCTCCTCCATGCGCCTCTGTTTGAGCCTCCTGTGACGTATCTCTCTATCTAATTTTTCATGGAGAAGGTCTAAGCTCTAAGTGGTTGGGTCAACACTAGCACTGGCTCGAGCTTCATGTTCCCTCCTATACTTCTCAGGGAACTGCTCAGCATATATGGCTTCAGTGATCCACTGCTGCTCTTGTTCAAGAACCAAAGTGGAGTAGTTGAATTTGGGGGATGGTTTGAACTCTCAATCTATCTCTTTCCATTTGATCCCTGCTTTGGTTAACATATCTGAGATCAGGTAGGGCATAATGAGGTTGGTATTGTGGGCTCTGCTAGCATCCCAAATAACATAAAAAATCAGCTGCTCAATCTTCACCTTCTGCTTGGTCATGAACAAATATATTAGAAGGGCTAGATTTCCTGGGGCTTCACTCAGATGGCTAGTTGGCATAATGTTCCTTGTGACAACATGCAACTAGATTCTGGCCTCAGGTATCATGTCCTTGCACAAAATATAGGCCTGGACCGGGTCTCACCCACTTCTCCTCTTTTACACCAGTGAGGGTTGATGAGATTGCACTGAGAGGAATTTTCTTTTGGTTGCTGAGATACCACTGATATTTGCATTGTTCAATGTCAAGCAGCTGATAGTAATCTCTGATGCGCTCTGGAGTAATGAGGATACAGTGTGTCCGAATAAACATTTGATTACTCAAGTTGGTAGCCACCCTAATGTAAAACTTCCTCACCAGCTTCTCATTCCCTATAATTTTTTGTCCCATCAACTCCAACAACTGAGCCTTTCTCGCTTTCTTGTAAAACCCAAACTTGTTGGTGCACGGAAATTCCCGTTCTTGATGTAACCCTCTTTTGTTGACCCAAACTTGGTGTCATATTACCTCTGGTTCTAAATATAAAAGCTAGACAATGTGTTCAATTTGATTTTATATTTAAGATTTCAATCGATTTTGTCTCCTAAATTTATAATTCTTTTCCTAAATATTCTTACTGATTACACATTCTGATATACTACCTTACTGATTCCTTGCGATTTGTTTGAAATATTATTTTCCACCATGCTGCCATCTAAAAAAGAAAAACTAAACATGTACGGATATGTACCGGGCAAGTGGATAAATTTGCACCGTGGAGGGGAATTATTATTAATATCGAAATGATACACAGGATAAACATTACATAACACATAACACATAACACACCAACAAAAAGCCACATATATGTGTGTGTTACTCCCACAGGGCCTGTTTTCAAGTAACAAGTTATGATTATATCATATAAACCTGAGAAGTAATATTAAGATCTTGGTAATGGAGAACGGGGACACAGAAGAGTGGGCCTCAAACTAAAGAAGCGGGGGCGCGGGCGCATAGGTTGACGGTGGCATAGAGATGACGGGGCCACTCGTCCAGAGCCAGCCACTGGTTCACCGGGAACGCTACTTTCCTAGAAAGGCCGCCACTGACGGTGATGTCGACGAAATCTAAGTACCACCCTGGCTTGTTCCCTTCGCCGTTGGATGTGACGGTGATGTCACAAACACTGAGACAAGTGCCGGTGCCGCTGAAGACGTCGAGGTTGCCCCGCTCGAAGTAGTCATGACCCGGTGCCATTATGCCCCAACTTTGGAGGTTGTTGACCGTAAAACTATCGCCGGAAGAGGACGTTAACTTGAGGCCGATGACGGAGTCCGTTCCTGCATCTTTGCGATCTCCTGTCTTAACTCTCACAATGTACTGGCACTGCTGCTGCATATATACACATGCATATACACAACTAAGTAGAAGGGATAAAAGCTTTGAAACTAATAATAACGGAACACAAGAGAAAGCAATTACTTACAGACGTAGCCATTGCAGCGAAGCCTATGAGTGAGGCCAGAAAAACAAGACAAGACAATCCAATAACTCTGAGAGCCATTTTATTAGTTTGTGACGCTACGTGCTGATCGATCGATGAGGATGAGAAACGCTGGAATAACCTCTCTACGCTTTTATATAAACATAGGGCGACATATACATATGTGGCGATAACTTAGTTTCACTTTTAGATCCAATTCATTTTAGTATTATGCGGACAAGTTGATAAGTGGGATGTCATCAACCTTTCGTTCTCATACAACGTGGTCTGAACACATGTCCTGCATGCATGCAGCCCCATTTTGAACCGTAACCAAGAGAATTAATTAAACGCGACCGCTCATGGTATTATATATATGGAAACAAATATCACCTCAATGGCAGGATAAGCATGGCAGGAAACGTCTAGCTCAAGCAAAGTGCATGCATATAGTTCCCAAATTATTATACAAGTGATGTCCATGCGGTCAAGCCATTGCATAATGCATAATTCAGCAGTTTTTTTTTTTTTTTTTAGTGTTAGTCCTCAGTGCATGCAATGAATCTCCTTCACTATGTGTAACTTTCTAGTCTCTACTGTTCATTCCAGAGGGGAAAACATGGGCCGGAGTCCGACACAAAATGGAAACCCAGCAACAAAGCCTAGTTCACCCTCCAACAATGTTGAAACCTGTAGATTCAAGCCTATATCAGCTGGGCACTCACTTAATATGCCGAGAGTAGAGATGAAGATTCTCAATGATCCACCAATAGAGTGAAGAAATCTCTTGATCTTTGATCTGACCTAATACTATTTTCTTACACAGATCTGTCATGGCCATGCATGTATTAAATATTATAATAATAATAATAATAATAATAATAATAATAATAATAATAATAGTAATAGTAATAGTAATAATAATAGTAATAATAAGAGTAGAGATGTAGAGAGAGAGGCTCAATATTATTCACTTTATACTTACTATGTGAAATTGACCAAATTTTCAAGATTCATGGACATAAGGATGATACATGCTTCAAACCTACAGGTTTTGATTAACATGTCCTTTGGAACGATCGCAATTCTTGATTAAATAATACTACAAGGAGTATGATACGCAGTAAACGTCGAAATTAAAATACTCCTATAAATTAAAACATTAATAGATCAGTTCATTATAAATATGGCAAGTATAAATTACTCAACTTTAAGACTTGTTTAAGATTACTTAAATTCTCGGAAGAGAATGAAGTGGCAAGATAGCGCCGGTTAAATAAATTAGGCTCCAATAAGATGGAAAAAAGAGGAAATTATAGTTTGTTCACATAAGGAAGTTTTAGTTCGTGAGATGTTACGGTTGAGGATGCATTTGTACAACATTTGGCTAAGCATTCTAGTTTATTATTTAATAATTTTTATAATACATGCATGTGAGGTTACGAAAAAGTCATAATTAGGTAAAAAGAAAGAGAAGTAATGACCAAATCAAATGATATAGTGATATCTAATAAAAATGATAGAAAATTACACCAGCAATAATGAATAATGCAAAGACATAATGACTCGTCGCTGTTATATTCTGGTAATTATTTCAAATAGAACACCAGTGGCTCAAACAATCTGAAGGGTTGAAGGCCCAATATAAATATGATCAAATAATATAAAGTGCAGATTGAACCCAGACATCTAACTGGCTTTAACTAACAAGAAAAGGGCGCTGGGCTGGAAAAAGCAATATCCGTCTGAGGGACTCATCAAAATGTGTTGCTTAAAAAAAAATGTGTTGCTACTTCAATTCCTTAATTTTTATCCTATGGCTATTTTTCTTTTACGTACCATAAATACCATAAATATCGTTGAGTTGAAATGTGGTTTACTAGCTTTGAACTCTGAAATCCTTAATATAGGACCTAATTGTTGAGTTGATTTTAGTCCTAAATATAAGATCTATTTCTCATATTTATCAGTTTTTTCTAAATTACCTCTATGGATACTTCCTCAATCAGAATCAAATAGAAGAGAGAGAGAATATATTAAGGAAGATGATTATGGTGTTTGAGAAAAAATATATCATATTTCTTATAATTAACTAACTTACCTGACTTTTTTAATCAAATCAAATAATTAAATAGGTCTTATAATAAAGACCAGAAGAGTATAATTTATGTCTTTCTTTAGTAATAAATTCAAATGTCATAATTGAATTTATTAAATTTAATCGCGTGTCACTTTTCACATATAAAACATTAATATGCATGTCTTTGCGTACTTTAATATTAAAAACTTGACACACATAAGTGTAAATGATTTTAATCATGTTGGAATATATGATTACCAACAACCAAAAAAGGAAGTTTTTGCTCTCAAGTCTCAACCACGTACAAATAAACAAACACAAAAGCACACCCTATATGATGATCTCCCCATATATAAATTAGTGGAGCCAACGTGGAGACCAGGTAATACAAAACATGCACACATATCACATATGACCACAAAATAAACATGCGGAAACTATACTGCAACGCTAGGCTCATCCTAATCACAACTCCAGCATTTGAAGGAAATTGATCAGACACGATTCTGGTTCCTGCAACATTAATCCAAAAGTGAAATGCGGCAATTATCAAATATAAGATAAAATACAATAAGCACAACTCCAGCATTTGAAGGAAATTGATCAGACACGATTCTGGTTCCTGCAACATTAATCCAAAAGTGAAATGCGGCAATTATCAAATATAAGATAAAATACAATAAGTAAATCAAATTGGTACATGTGCAAATCAAATCGAACCAAGAGTGTTATATTTAGATGACGTTGTACTCACCATAAAAGAAAATAGCTTTTGATGGAATTTAGCTCCCTGATGACCTCAATTGCACTCGTTCTTTCATGAGGCGATTCCATTGAACATGCAAGTCCAATCTCAAATAAAGAACCCAAGCATTTGTCGATATTAGGATGGATTTGCATCATGTTCTTTGATGAGTCTCCTGATGCTAACACTATATGTTCTAGCTCTCGTGGAAGAATAGTCGGGCTCACAATCTCCAAAAGCTTGTTTGGGAATAAAATTTTCACATATGTTTGAAGATTGTAGCCATCTTTAAACATAGCTTCGGTGGGTCTTCTTTTAGTTAACATCTCTAACACAAGAATGCCAAAGCTATACATGTTACCTTGTACCAATAGCTTAGAACCCATTCCATATTCTGAAATATTGAAAGCATATATATTAATTCTCTTAATTATATAAATGATCATTGAAAAATGAAAAATTGTGAGTTTAAAAGAAAAATGAATTTGAATGATGAGATGACCTTGCATAAAAACGTATCAAATGATACCTGGAGGAACATAGCCAATAGTACCCTTTATTCTAATTGTGCTGTTTTGTTCATTAGAGATGACTTCATCAATTGGAAGTAATCTTGTCAATCCAAAATCACTCAAATGAGCAACCATGTCGCCAGAAGAACATTACTTGGCTTCAAATCACAATGAATTAGAGGCCGCCCATATTCATAGTGAAGATAGTTTAATGCAGACACAATATCAATAAGGATACTTATTATTTGATCAAGAAGCAAAATTCTTGGATGATTTGAATTATCCATTCTAGGATGCAACCAATTTTCCAAGTTTCCATTTGCCCTGTATTCATAAACTAGAGCCTTTAATTCATGGCCCTTGTAATCTATGCTAGAGCAACATGTTATAGTTTTTACTAGACTTCAATGCTTCGCATTTCTAAGTGCATCACATTCAACAACGAAACTCTTGTGGGCTCCCGTTATTTCAAGGTTGATGACCTTTATCGCAACAACTTCCTGGGATTCAAAAGTTCCCTTATATATAGAGCCAAAACTCCCAAATCCTATCAAGTTGTTGACAGAGAATCCATCTGTAGCATTATGCAAACTTTGAAATGATATTGTGGAAATCAGGTCAATTGTTGAAGAACTTGAAGAAGATTTCTTGCTTCTTTTCCTTCCATAATAAAATAGCAATAACAAATGCCAAAAGAAGAAAAGATATCACACAACATATTGATACGATCAACTTGAAGTTTTGATGTTTTCCTTGTCCAGTAAATTTGATAGGGCATGGGGGCAGCCCCAACTTTGATAGGCCTCCACAAAGTTTGTTATTCCCCATAAGTGATATTGCACTTGCATTGCCAAAGACAACTTTTCTTGGTACCTTCCCATCAGGCATATTGAAGGAAACATTTAGGTGCTCCAAGAAAGCAACATCTTTTAGGCCTTTTGGAGTTGATCCAAACAAATTATTGTTACAAGTCTAAATATTTTAGACCTTTTAATAAAGACAAAGATAATGGGATTGTTTCTTGAAAGAAGGTCCCTTATAAAAGGAGATACTCTAAGCTTTGACAATCTCCAATCATGTGAGGGATATTTCCAGACAAATGATTATAAGAGACATCCACTGCATAAATATGTTTTAACTTTCCCACATCATTAGGGAGATCACCACTGAAAGTGTTATGGGACAAGTCCAATAGAATTGATAAGGATGAAAGAGCAAACATCTGGACTGGCATGACTCCACTAAAATTGTTTTGTGACAGTTTAAGGTGCTGTAAGTTTTCACAACTCCCAATACTTGGAGCAATTTATCCTTCTAACATGCTGTAGTACAAATCTAGATGAAATAATTGAGTGAGATTACCTATGAAATGTGTCATATCTCCAGACAATTTGTTTCTGGACAAAGATAAGAACTGCATCTTCTGAAACTTCGCAAAGGTACTTGGGATGATGCCAGTGAAATAGTTCATCTCCATATGCAGTAATGTCAGGTTAATGAGGTTTCCTATTGGCTCAGGAATTTTCCCAGATATCTGATTATGTTCAAGAAAGAGTAATCTAAGTTGGGTGGACAAATTACCTATGGTATTTGGTAGATGGCCCCCGAAGTTATTGTCGTTTATTGTTAGGAATTCTAATTTACTGCAGTTGCTCAGAAAATTTAGAAACTCCATGTCTGTACCTGAATTCCTTCCCAGATCATTACTATCCAATTGCAGAATTGAAACTTGATGCAACTTTCCAAGATTTGGAGCCTCCCCAGTAAAATGATTTTCTGACATGGAAAGCTTTACGAGCGTAGTCGCACTAACAATGGAAGTTGGGATAGGACCTGAGAATTGATTTCCTCCTAGTTCCAACCATTGGAGATTAGGGAGGTTGGTGAACATGTTGGTTGGGAGAGAGCCATTAAATTGATTTGAGGAAACTACAATTTTAGTGAGAGATGACATATTGTAAAGAGAAGAAGGAATTGGACCAGAAAGCTTGTTGGCGCCTACGAAGAATGAAGTCAACTTTCGTAGATAGCCTATTTCTTTTGGTATGCTCCCCTCCAAGTTGTTATATGGGAAAGCAAGATGATTAAGAGAAGAAAGATTCCACATGGAACTTGGGATTTGTCCTGTGAAATTATTGAAAGCTAGATATAATTTTTCTAGCTTTCGGAGAGAGCCGATCTCCATTGGTATTTTGCCAGCAAGATGATTATTCGAAAATGATAAGTAAAAGAGGTTAGAGCAACTTGTGACATTTATAGGAAATTCTCCTGCCATCGTATTATTGTCAAAATATAGTACTTGCAACCGGAACAAACGACCCAACTCTTGTGGGATTTCTCCATGGAACATGTTATTGGAGAGAGACATAACTGTAATAACCTGAAACTTTTATTATAAATTAAGTAATAATTATATTAATTGTTGTAGCTTGAGTACAACAAGGAGGTGGGAGATGGCTGGCAGCAAATGGTGCTAAAAGATTAAAGGTCCCAGATTCGAATCCTCCAATTGTTCAGGGAAAATCTTATTTTTCTCCTATTTTATAAAAGATCCTCAAATATTAAAAAAAAACTAAAACTAAAGTGGCATTAGATAAGTAATGCCATCGTTCTTTTTTTTTGGTTCAGTGAGAAAGGGAGTAGATTTAGGAGAAGCTTCGCGACTTGAAGCTGAAAACCCCAGCCACTCTTCACCTCCATTCAACTCCACCATCGTTGGCGTTCACTACTACCATCTTCCCCTTCATTTAAGGTTCTTTTTTTTTTTCCCCTCTTCTCTCTCTCTTTTCTTCCTTCCCCTATTCAACACTAATATCTGCTTCTTCCTCCTTCATATTTCAGCTCGTTGCTCTCTTTCTCTTCCTCCTTAAGCTATTTTCATGGCCGAAACACAAGGAGGAGTTGTAAAATTTTCCGGCGCCTCCAGTATCTCTTCATTTCCATTTTCTTTCTGCTGCTGTCAAGAGTTATGCCTGTTTAAGGAAAAATGATTCTGTTCTGCTAAGGTGCACGATTAAAGGCATTTTGAGCCATATTTCTTCTTCCCTCTCGGTTACATCTAGTTAATTTCAGAAAAGGAGAATTCTTGGGCCTGTTTAGAAGAGGTAGGAAGGATCCTATATGTTGAAAGGTAATTTACAATCTTGATCAGAGGAATCATTTGAGGCTTGTGATTGGGTGGTGCTGTTTATTTTAATTCGTATGATGAGTGTTAATGGGGAAAAAGTGTTTGAGGAATTTTCTTAGATTGGGTGAATGTTAGTCTTGCGAACCAATTTTGAATGCCTTTAAGATGCTTGGTAAAATGCCTCCTTGAGCAAAAGATTGTTGATAGGTGTTGCTATGATATCCTGACGGAGGAGAATAAAATAGATATTATTTGGATTAATTAGGATACAATCATTGGTCTTCACGAAGTGCTTGAAGGAAGTAAGAGCTAGTTGTCCTTGTACTTGGAGAAATTGAATTTGATAGTACGGGTTGTGCTATTGATTATGTAGAGTTATAAGTTATATGTAATGTTCCTAGCTTACTTGCTAATGCGTAGATGTTTCTAATGTTCTTGGTTGAGGTTGTTGATGAATGATTTAAAAAGTACGAGTATAAGTCAGATCATTAATAATAATAATAATAATAATAATAATAATAATAATAATAATAATAATAATAATAAATATTGATCCTAAGGTGATAAGCATTTAAAATATTGATCCTAAGTATGAATGTGATGCCAATAAATTTATAAATGAGAAAGTCTGTGATTTATATATAAGTGGAGCTTTGACGTTTTGATTTGGGGTTATTAGGGGATTGAGGAGTGAACTTATCTCAAGGTTTATAAATCAAAACCATTTAAAGGTGGGAGCACAATAGGTGAGTGGATAGCATCCCATTATTATAAATTTTACGAGTAAGCTTTTGTTGCTATTGACTCAATTAAACTTTCATTTTTTCTTTATTTTTCATTTTATCAAAGTGATCATATTTAAAATCTTCTCAAATTTGTTTTACTTATTAAATGTCTTAACATGTTACTTTATTCTTTTAATTAATAGTTATGTTTGGAATTTGGATAGAAGTTTTGAAATTGTTACTTGAAAATTCGTATCCTGGGGATCATCTGTTACAAAATTTTCTTTAAAAGATTTTATTATTAGAAATAATATATATATATCCATATATTTATATGTCAGCGAATGATCCCATGCATGCTTGAACATATTTTGAGAGGACTAAATACAGAACACTGGTTACTAGCAGCAGTACTGTTAGTCCTTGGCACGCCATGGTAAATCGAGCTCGCTTGATTATTTCATGGGCATAGTTCCCGTGCTTGTTTTGTGACTTCGACTATGCTTGATTGGTTACTTGCCTCTCACGGACTGTGTGTCCATGCTTGTATTCGTGGCTTCAAGCCGTGCTTGTTGTTTCGTTCTGTTGATGTCCTACGTGTGATATAACATTTTATATTTTCTGTATTACAAGTTGTTTTATGATGAAAATTGTTTTTACTGAATTATTGAGTTTAATCACATATTTAATCTTTTTAATTTATGGTCGTACATTGTATAATTTTAAATACTTTGCCATATTAATACTCAAATTTAAAGTTTTTTTTTCATTCATTTCTTTTAGTAATGCATTTAAATTTGATAAATGGGATGTTATTCACCAATATATTGTTTTTGGCCTTAGATAGCACTCCAGACTCTGTATTGCCAGCTGAGCCGTGAAGAGCCTTATCGAAGATCCAGATCATGTAAATTTATTTTGAGCAACTACTAGCTAATGTAACCACAAGAGTACATGTATGTCTTTATTTTATTAGTTAGATGCTCCACGGAATCTTGGGTTAGGTCCTAGTCTTTTAGGTTATTTTGGAATGTAATTATATACATTGGTGCTGGGGAGCATACCTCTAAAATGTACGGGACGCTATAGAATTGTTGGGGAAGTTTGATTTATAGTGGAGATTCTCAGGGGGAAAAAAAATTTCTACAAGTAGCTTTATATTTTGGATTATAATAACTATGTGCTAGCAGATGAAGGTTTTATTCAATGAGATCCTTCTGTTTATAATTGCCTTTAAAATGTTAGTTATACAATTATTTACATATGTTTAGGCTTGGGAGTGTGAGATCTCTCATACTTCTGCCCTAGGCACTTAATAAAATTTGGGATGTGACAATAACTCTAAGGAAGGAGAGATTGCCAGTGAAAGGTGATAAAGCACCAGACAATTGATAGACTTTCAACACCAATCGAGTGACTCTTCGATGCTTGTGGCCGCAAGAGATTCCATGCCAGTTGCAGAAGTGTTGAAGCATTCCAAGAATCTAAGATGTGATATGGATCCTGGGAAATGATCAGTTTCGTTTCCCAATTATGAACCAGACGCTGTGTAAGATTGAAGGAAGATCAAAGTGAAGAAAAGAAACAAGTGAAGTCACATGGTTGAGAAACGAAGGCTAGCTACTTCGAGAGCTCGGTGAGACATTGGCCTCGAACATCTATATAAAGATGAGGTTTACTTCAATTCGTGCAAAATTTTCTGTTTGGTGTTAATTTAATATATTCAAAAATGTGTTTATACTTTCTCAGCCCTACACCTTTTTCCCCCAGTGTTACTATTTTTTGCCATTAAATGGAGGATGCAACTGCTCATCGTGTTTTTGTGGAAACAAAGTATTATCGTCAACAGTCATTAGCCAACGTTACATCAAAATGCATTAACTCGAAAGCATGGGAGTAGAAATCAAAGAAGGCCAACTTGAGTGGAAATACTGCATTACTCCGGTCCTAGCTATTTATAGGGCGGATTGCGGAGAGAAAGAGAGAAAATTTTGGTTCTATTTACTGGGTAGAGAAAGAAATTTTTTTATATAAATATATAATTTAATCTTTTATTTATTATTAGGTTGATTTTGTTCTCGTGGGATAATATATATCAAATAGGAATAAAATTGAAAAGTTATTAAATTTTAAATAAAAGTTAATAAAATTTAATGTTTTTCTTAATTTATGTGAAATATATTAGAAGTGCCTTTTAGGACCAAAGGAGTAGCTAGGCTCTTATCATAAATTGATTCCATATTTAAAGTCATAAGTTACATCTCGAGACGCCAAAAGAAAATTTGCGTCAAAAGTTAAATAAAGACCATCTTTGAAAAACGTAATTAATACTCCACTTACCACTTACCGTGATAACGATCACTCAATTCTTCTACAAGAAATAAGCACTGGACTTCGGAGTGGTATATGGACAAAGCGTCAAACGCGATAATATTATACGGAACCCAATAAAATCTCATTGCTCATTTATTAAATTTTCACAGATTCAAAGAACTTGGAGCAAGTTGATCCAGAATCAAGATCAAGAGGGGTGGAAAAAGGCAAGGCCTTGTTTGGTTATTGCTTATTATTATTTAAGACTATTATTTAAAACTATCAATATTATGTGCATTTCTATTTTATCATTATTAGAAGGAGAAGGGAAAACAGTTTTATAATATACACAATTCAGGATATATTATTACATTTTTGTTGCTATTACTCAATAATAATTATATTTTTGTTATGAAATTAACCAACAATGAAAGTAGATTGGAGAAGAGAAGTAGACAAGAAAATGAGAGAATGATATTGTATTCCTTCACTTGCTTCACTTGCACTACAACACAAATGACATGCCCTATCTATAGACATAGTCTTATACATAGGTTACAATTGTCCTTAAATGACAAATAGTGGATAATCAATCTCATGAATGTGAATGGAGGTGAGTTACAAGAGTGAATGGATAGTGGAGGAATAATGGATGGTGGAGGTAGTGGAAGTTACTTGGGGAAGATGAAGAGAAAGGGGTAAATGAACATCCACATAATATTCATAACACTCCCCCTTGGATGTCCATTATACAAGTATGTGCCTCGTTAAAAAACTTCAACTAGGAAAAACCCTGTGGGACAAAAACCTAGCGGAAGAAAAAGAGTACACATTTATCAATATACTATCCAATGCTGCCTCATTAAAAACCTTACTAGGAAAAACCCAGTGAGATAAAAAACATAGTCAAGGAAAAAAGAGTACAGCATGTGTTAACTCCCCCTTTTAGTAACATCAGTCGATATCTCTGAACCTATGATATCCGATACCATGAACAAGTTTTTCAAATATCATACAAGGAAGTGACTTGGTGAACAAATCTGCCAGATTTTCATTAGAACAGATTTGCTAGATATATATTTCACCATCTTTTGAATATTATGAAATACTTCATCTGGAATTACCAACATGTGGATCAAAAAGAAATCTAGAATTCTATTCCAATATCTTTCGTGAAGAACTATATCTTAGTAATAAGTTAAC